CTCAGGTGTCTTCATATTGTTAGACATGTGGTCTGATGAGTTCAAAAGTTGTTAAAATTATAATGAAAACCTTTTCATAGGTTTATAAAACAAAACTGAAAGATGTTAAACAGAAAAGAATATTTTTAAATCTTCTTCCTCCTAGTTTTGCAAGATTTTACTATTTAATTGTTTAAATGTTGGAGCAGTGTGCACGGTGTAGTATTCAGTGCTCCGAGGAATATTTTTATATTTTTATTGGAACAAATTCTATCTTGCCCCCCCCCCTTCCTCCCCTCCGGTCCGGTCCTCAATAATGAAGACGTTTCTGATATTTTTAACATTTTTTTTACATTGCTTATCTCTGGCTTTCAAAATACAAAATCAAATGAAACAAAGTGTTTTTGAATGAACACAAAAGTTTTTGATGAAAAAAATTTGGTTTTTGCACCTGCTACAACCTACCATCCCCTCCCCCACCCACCCTCTCGAGTCCCTTCCTCTCTTTTTAAGTTTATTGAGACTGTAAAAAATAGTTTGAAGCTGTGACGACGGGGGACATAATTTAAATTTCATATTTCCGTTTCTCAACAATATTTGCATAAACTCAATAATTCCTCTTTTGTCTTGAACAGATTTTCTTCCAACGACAATATAGGAGAGATAGATAGTTAGATAGATAAACCAACCCTTCCAGGGGTTAAGGATCAGACGCTTTAATATCTGCGTTGTTCTACGCACCGTCAAAACATTTTTAATAGATATTAATCTCATGAGGAGGGGGGGAGGGGTATAGATATCATTAACTTATGATTAAATCCGGAAAAATGTTTTTGAAGATCTTAAGATTGGGTCAGTCCTCGTTTCATAGTTTTTAGAAGATTGAATTATACTTGAGCGTAATTTCAAGTGACCCTCCAATTAAAAACAGAAACAATGGTACCTTGAAAAAATAACGTGAAAAGTGTTAAGTTTAGTTTTCTTTTCTGATGTAAGAAATAGGCAAGTCTTTTAAGAAGTCAAAAATGAATATAAATACAAAAACATTGATATGTAATTCATACTTTTTCAGACAAAGGGTTCCATGTGATTCACCGACATAGGGTAAAACTACCTAGGGTCAAACGATAAACGGTCAAACACGCGACAATTATTTTTGGTTAATTTGAACTATTTTTATGTTTAATAGAACTAGTAGCCGCAGCGCTCGGCTCCCTTTCCTGTCCTAGCCGCATAGAATATTTTTTTCCATTTTCACCCTTTGTCGCGTTTTTGACCTTTTGTCGTTTGACCTTAGATCTATCTATCTATCTATCTATCTATCTATCTATCTATCTATCTATCTATCTCTCTATGTATCTATATATTTAGCTATCTATCCATCTATCTATCTATTTATCTATCTATCTATCTATCTATTTATCTATCTATCTATCTATATATCTATCTATCTATATATTTAGCTATCTATCCATCTATCTATCTATTTATCTATCTATCTATCTATCTATTTATCTATCTATCTATCTATATATCTATCTATCTATCTATCTATCTATCTATCTATCTATCTATCTATCTATCTATCTATCTATCTATTTATGTCTGCAGACCCGTGTGAAGAGTAACGTACTAAATTCCAGTATAAAGGAGAGGATAAGGACTCCTAGGATAAAACAAGATAAAAAACATTTTCGGAAACTTTATATCAGGGCTTCCGATAACTTAGTTCATTTTTAATACGAATAAGGAGAAAATGGGGCTATATTGAAAAAGAGAAGAAAGAGAAGATGAAGAAGAAAAGGAGAATGAAGAATAAAGAAAAGTTGAAGAAGAAAGGGAAGATTAAGAAAAAAGGGAAGATGAAGAAGAAAGGGAAAATGAAGAAGAAAGAGAAGATGAAAAAGATGGGGAAGACAAAGAAAAATAAGAAGATGAAGAAGGAAGAAAGAGGAATAAAAGAAGAAAAATAAAAATGAAAAGAGAAAAAACCAGACAGAAGCTATAAGAGTAAAATAAATGAATAAGGAGCTAACGAGTAAAAAAGTAAAAGAATAAAAAGTAGAAAATAAGCATGTATTAAGGGTCTGCCTGGCTCTTATATCCAGTAGAACTCCTTTACTTGGCTTCTGTGGAATTTTATTTAAAAGGTTTGCCTCGGTTTTATCTTGAAAGGTTAGCAATAAAAATTTAATTGTGGGGGGATGATCACTTTAATCACCCCTGCTGATTGTACACTTAGAATAGAAAAAAAACCACAATTATTATTCCTCCTCTGAAATGTATATTGATAGAATTATTAAACCACAATGATAATTAAAAGTTTATAAGTACGGATATCTGGGAGTAAACTCGGCTTCTGAGAACAGAAAATGCGCCAGTATGATCTGCAGAACAGCTGAGCATCAAATCTTATTAAACTTGGGCAAAGAAAAGGATTTGAACGAATAGTACAAAATGAAAATGTTGATTTTGTTTGCGTCACTGAAACTTATATTATTCTTTCCAAAGAAATTTTCTGATTTTGAGTGATAAAAATGATTTACTTTTAAATCATGAAAATGTAAAGGTAATAAAGGTAATTCTAGAATAACATTTAGTATGTACAGGGTGTCCCATTAAACATGACAATTCAAGGACGAATTTTTTAAATAACTCTTTGATTTAGTATAGGGATACCTACTGAGAAAGCTGTAATCTGTAAGAGTTTTGTCTACTATGTTCACATTTTGTTTGTTTATATTTTGACTACATACGGTTGTACTTAGTAAAACAAGAAAATTGTAGTATACAAACAGAATAAACTTGCCCGTCTTCACTGTGTATCTTGCGGAGACATTGTAGACACATCTTTACAGTCTTTTAACCTTTTCATAAGATAAACTCTAGCAGACATAATAATATTATGGCTTTGAAATTAGGTATTACAATGCTAATTCATAACAAAGACGATATCGAATTCGTCACTGAATTCCCATGTTTTATGGGACACCCTGTGACAATTCATTCTAATTTCTACTATTTACGAATGACTCCTTAAACGGAAATACGATTCAGAAGTAAAATCAAAATTCGGATTTTTGATTTTTGAAAAAAGCTACAAATTAAAGATTTAAGTTCCTGTAGCATGATTAGAGCAACCTAAAAAAAAGAATTGGTAGTATTTCTTAAGATGCTATTAAATGTCGTCTTAGCTTTTTTGTCGATTTTATTGCTGACTCTTTTTTTTCAGACATTTGACATAAGAGTTATGATTGCGCGCTAATTTTTTTTATTTGATAAAATTATAAACAAAATAAAATCAGTAGATAATATTCTTCTTAATTCCTTTATTTCAAATATGGACTGTCTATATATTTTAAAAATTTCATTTTATTATCTAGAAAATTATTTCAATGAAGTCATCTTACTGTACTGTCACCATAATTGTGTAATTGGTTGGTCTTTGGTTTGTCAAAAAAAAAATTATTTTGATTTTGATTTTTAATTTATTCTCTAAGGTTTTGACATGACTGCAACAACATTACCTTCGATTTCATCCTGCTTGTAGAAATTGACCTTCTAAAATTAAAATAATATGTTTTTCTGTTTCATCGAAACTGTTTTCAAAATCTCTATTCTCCCAAAACACCCTTTTTTAAGATATTGTACTTTGAACTTATAAGAAAAATATCTTGGACGATAACTACAGTTAAACCCTAAATAAGCCATACATCGAAAGAATTAATCAAATGTCGTCTTCTTCACTTTCTGCTGATGGAATGTTGCAGATATTTAGTTTTTTGATTAAATGATTATATGGAAGCTCTTTAAAACTGTTCAAGCATATTCATGGCTATTTATTTATTTTCGCAAATACTGAGATTTACGAAAAATAGTATAAAACCCATTAAAAAATTGTCAAGACGACATTTGATAAATTCTTTTGATGTATGGATCATGTACAAAGATAATATATATATAAATATGCAGGCAGGTATAAATTTTGAGGTCTTGAGAAAAGGTGCAAACAGCACCATCTCTGTCGTACGCATGGCATTTTATCCTCTGGATTGTTGCTAATTTATCACTTTATTTATGCGTGATAACCCTAAATGCGTACTATAGTATCAACAATGTATACTGCATATTGTACTTAATGAAACAAATTAATCAATGCAAATAAAACTGAGGTAGGAATTTGACTAGACAAAGTTTAAATGTGCAAGTTGTACTGAATGGCATACGTAAATTAACGCAATTTAAATAAAAATTATGACTATAAAAGTACATCGAGTCTAGGACAAATTACAACTGATCTGATCATAACATAAACAA